TCTCTCTCTCTCCCACCCACACACCTCCTCACAGCTACGCCCTTGTGCAAGAGATGTATGTTAGATTTTCAGAAAATATCTTGATTTCCTTACAAAGCCACCTTTATCCTACAGAAGCTCTCTGACACTGTGTTGCAGCCCGCACATGAATAAAGCATGAATCCAACGTTGGGAGGACCAGTAGTGTTACTCCTGGGACTAACTATAGAGGTTCTTGCCACAGCTTGGAAACACCCTCCGTCCTCTGCATAACCCTGTTTGTCTGGCTGTCAGTAGTTCAATTTAACACGCAGATCTGTGTATATGTGTGTGTGTGTGTGTGTGTGTGTGTGTGAGGTCAGTTTTTAATACATTTTATTTAGATTTTACCTGACAAATTCTTTTAGTTTTAGTGTCCTTGATAATTTTTGGAACAGATTTGCTGTTTTGATTAGTTTTTTTTAGACATGGTCAGTTTTATTTTTGTTTCATTAAGTTTGAGGCAAAATATGAGTTTGATTAGGACAACATGTCCCAACATATTATTTATGTGGCTGTGTGGTCAAGCATAGTCTGTATTTAAGACTTAAAATCATAGTTGATTATTTGTTTTATTTTTGTTTGTTTTTAGGCAGTGGTTATTATTCTAGTTCATACACTCACACAAATGTTAACTTCCAACAGGGCTAAAACTATTAACATAACTGAATAATCTACCAGTTTAACATCCAAAACCCAAAGACATTTTCATATCGTCATTGAGAAATACATTTGAGAGGCTGGAACTAGTGACTTTTTGCCATTTTGTTTGAAAAACAACTTCAGCAACTCAATTATCCAAATACCTGTGGATTAGCCTAATTTTCTGATAATCAACAAATCAAGTGATTGTTTCAGTTTTGCGCTCTCTCTCTCTCTCTCACACTCACACACACACACGCGCACAGCATTTTGTGTGTGTATCTGTGAATTGTGAAACAAGTCAGCAGGTATGTAGCTAGTTCAGTTTTCCACTGCAGTTTCCTTGTAAATAGGAAGAGCCCCTATGTAAGCTCGTTATCAGCTGCTGCTGTTTGTGTTGTGAACTGTGTCTGTCCACACACACACACACACTACAATACTTGGTCTGCCTATCTCTTCTCATCTACCTCTTCTGTGTGTATTTTTGTTCTCTTTCCAGCCTCTTGAAGCCTCCGTTCTTCCATCTCTCCACTGTCTTTTCAATTCACTCCTTCTTTCCCACTCCTCTCCCCCCGCTCCACCTCCTCCCTTTTTCTCCTCCCTTCTCTCATTAGATAACTGCAGTCTGGTTCATTTAATATATGCAAAGCCGTTTATGCCCCTGGAATATTTTAGGTCTTTAAATACTTCACGCAGTGTACCAAAATATGTTTTATCTAAGCTCTCTGTATTTTGATATTGCACACAAAAGCGGAACCGGTCTCTTGTGTGATTTGGAAACTGGTACAAAAG